TTAATTTAACTATTTCGGCTATCTAATATGCCATCGATGTTACCAAAGGGCAGACCCTTATTACCAAGTGCTAGTGAACCTGTGCCACAACATCCTGAGAGTGATCCAAATTATTCAAGAACAACTGATACACATTCACGCTGCATATTTACAAAATATACCTACATGTGATCACGGACCTAAACAAAGGATGGACGTAACCTCGTCTAATCACGAGTGAAGCATGCAAATGGCCGCCCGTTTACCGTGTGTGCGTGATTTGAGGGTGGTCATATAAGTCATCGATTTCCCTATTTTTTAAATGTCTCAAACTAAAATATTGTTAACACTATGTAGGTAATCCCGTTATTGTAATATGTATTTATTATAATAACGGGATATTTACCATGTTTTTATTAGATGTGAGCTCCGGATATTTCAGCAATTTAAACGGGTGCACTTTAGAAACATAATGTTGGCCTATCAAACATCATTTTTATGACGACCGTTAGAAAAATGAAAAGACTTCCTAGGTATAAAGTAATTTATTATTTACATAAAAATTAAGTATCTGGTTAATATTACACATAACCATACCTAAATCGCGCAGATAAATGCTTAAATAAAAATATAATAGACCAATATTATTATTTCTTCTTTTAAATGTAAGTGTTTCATTCATAGATTTAGTAGGTATTTAAAGACTGACAGAGTGAGGAAAAGAGATATGTCGACATGGGGACAGGAACTTCAGAAAACTGTCAAACCCTTGCTTCTGAAGCATTTGTATTCTTAATACACGGTATAAATTAGCATTTTAAATTACCTCTGGGATATTTACTGGTAAGTGCACAGCAGAAATTTAATTAAATTTATTTATGTATTTCAAAATGTTATGATGCAGGCTTAAAGTCGTATGCTTAACATTCGATACACAAAAACAGAACCAGTAATACAGGCCAACTAGGTCCCTGCCTCAGCTTAATACTACAGCAACACCAGGGCTGCTGCAGCGCTGATAATTCTGGCAGGGTTGACGAGACATTTTTAATTTAATAAAAAAACAGAAGATTAGAACCATACCAATCAGCATGACAAAAAAAAATAACAACATAGGCTGACTGCTTTTAGTATCTTAAGCCTTAAAACAAGAGAAATGAATTCATTAAAAAATTAAATAAAAATGAAGTAAGATTTATCTATGACAAACTAGAACTTACAAAAACCAAAACTAAAACCAAACCTTAAAAAAATACAAAGAAATAATTAGTTACAATCAGTTTCTAAACACAAGAAAGTTTGCTACATATTTACATATATATATAAACAACAAAGAATTCACAGCGAGGATATACCATTTTATAAAACATATAAAATATTCTATGAATAATATGGCTTCTATTCTTTTCCTTTTGGGATAAGGAACCCTAAAAAGTTACGAAATCTGACCTTACCGAGTCACAAATGCAAGAAATACAAAATTCCCTACTGTTAGGGAAAATTTCCCGTAAATAAAGTAGCCATACAGTTGTATTTTTGTTTACAATTTTCATCCCAGTAAATAAAATATAATATGGAATAAATATCAAGAATTGTCAATACTTACGCATGGTACGTAATTCCTTGTGACTTTTTAAATTTATTCGTGTAGTTTTTACAGGATTTCACCACACAAGACGGCATTTTAAATTATTTTTATCAGAGCAATTGAATGTGTGACTGCCGCTGTCACGCGGGGTCAAATGGCAGCGTTTTGTCCGACCTGGTGCATTAGTGTGAGTGTAGGTAGTGTACAACAAACGATTTTGTCTGACCTTGCATGCTTCACATGATTTGCCTTTGATGTTACGTCCGTCTTTTTTTTAGGTCCGTGCATGTGATATACAAATAAATACAATATGATACAAATATGTGAAAAATAGTCAATAAATAAGAAGCAAAATTACAGTTTTTTATTTTATTCATGATTCCTACCTAACCAAGTTTTTCCTAATAGTTATTCTTTAAAATCGCACAGAGTAAAATGAATTAGTTGTAATATTAATTCACTTCATACTGAGTTTATACTAAATTCATAGGCTGACCTATGTTCCTAAGTTTTCCTAATAATTTAGGTTCTCAGAAGTGTCCGTCAATAATCTTTGTTTTTACAGTCATTTACTTACGATTTTGAACCTAGAAAATAATATTTCATGATTGTTGGTTCTTAGGCTAACTATGTATGGACGCTGAACAATGTCCTTTATATTCCTGATTCCACTGCATCTCTTCAATTGACAAGGTAAATATAACGAGTTATAATCTTAAGATAAAAATCTATTACCTAAATTAATTTTAGGGTACCGTACCTCAAAAGGAAAAACGGGACCATTATAGGATGATATGATCACTTTCCTGTCCGTCTGATTGTCAAGACCGTTTCTCTCGGAAACGTGTGGAGGTATCGACTTAAAATTTAAACCATTATACTCAGGTCCATCTACAGTCCTTTTAGTTATAAAATCGCAACGAATTAACCGATTTCGATGATTTAAACAGTATATTAATAAAAAAGCTTATTAGATCACTTTACTGTTGATTTTGAGTTGATTTGCTGACCTAGTAATGATCCTCTCACAAAGTATTAATATTTTTATGAATACTTGTAAAGGTATTCGTTTTATATTGTGGATTACCTACAATGCAAAGAGATGGCACTGTCTTTCAGCCGAAGAAATACTGGAGGAAATTCGACACGGCCATTAGGGCCGCGGTAGCAAAATAGTCATTGATAGATAGCGGCGATAGAATAGAGATAGCGGGAGTGCAGATTCGAGTACGTCTGCTGCCTGGTCGGCGTGGAATTTGTTTAAGTAAATTTTTCTTTAAATAAATGTTGTTCTTCAAAAAAGATATTATTGAACTATGGATGTAAAATTAAAAAAAAATACAAGAGTTGAGTGGGTTACGCCCACCGAGCGTTCCGTACAAATTTTAAGTTACGCAACTGAAACCGCCGTGCAAAATATTTACGTTAACTTAGAAGTTTATTTTTTTCACAGCTTCAAGGGACTGTAGACTTGAGTATGTGGTACAAATTTCAACTCGATACCTCTATGCGTTCCTGAGATGAAGTGTCTTGACAGACAGACCGACAAACGGCCAAGAAAGCGATCCTATAAGGATTTCCTTTTTTTGGAGGTACGAAACCCTAAAAACACAATATTTATTAGAAGTGTAACATTTATCAACTTTAGTCTAGGTTGAGTCACATAAGATAAAATATCTATATCGATATAATGTAACATCAGCTTAAACAAGCTTACAACTTATTTGTATCGTCTAGTCTAGACCTAGTCTCTAGCCATAGACAAGACAAGAAAAGAACATCAGATTTCCATTCCACTTTAGCGCCTGCCAGTGAGCGAGCGTTTGTGTCGCGTTGATGCGGTTTTGCGCCGCATATCGATTCTATTTCACTCACGTAGACATGGTACTCCAGGGAGAACGTATCTCAGTCGGAATATTGGAAGATGCTCTATAGTAAGTATATATGAATCATTTAAAATTATTCTTTAAACATAATAAGATGTATGGTGTTTTGTCTTTATATTTTATGTGATGCAGTCTAAATGAATAAGACCCAGTTTTGAAAAATAAAATTAGTAGCATTTCAATATTTTTGCAATCTCAGCTTTCATAAATTATGACTAAGGTAAGTATAATATATAACTTAATACCTTTAATAAGATCAGCATTATAGAACGCATAAAAAGTTGTTGGGTTCCCACTACGACAGAAAAAAGAACCAAATACCTTTTTTATTTATTTATTTATTCAATCAAATCAATTACATTTTAATATACAACGGCTGTATCTACAAACCCTTAAACTCAAACAAATATTTCTTAAGTTTCATCTTTCACATAGGTACAATTCTTGAATACTAGGGGGCATTTCGTTTAGAAATTTAGGAATAACATATTTTAGTGTTCTCGAACCATATACACTGTTGGTTTTCGGTAGGAGATATTTTTCTATAATTAAGGTTACGGAAGTATTCCGGACGATGGTGAGTCTGTAAATTATGTGCACTGTTATGTTCCGCATACCTCAATGATTTTCTGTACTTCCTTATGTGGAAAATTGGCCGTCTGTTTTCAGTAATTTTATAGCAGTTCTACTGTTATGTCTGTAGTGTTATATAAAGATTAGTACCAAAATAAACAAGTGACAAAAAAAACATTCGTTCTACAGGACTTCCTGACAAAGAACAATACTCCTGTTGATGATAAAAGACTGAAAATTTTTATTTTGAAAATTTTCTTCATTATAAAGGTAAGGTACGTTATTTCTCTGACTCCTTGTTCGCAGGTATCAATGACTTCGGTTTAGGTTATTAAGTCTCTATTAATTTTCTCACCATGTTATGAATGCTGCTTAAGTTTTAATAGGTTTAAAATAAAAGTTATCCTGGCATTCAAACGTAACGCGTAAAGAACCAAATCATGAAAAAAAAACGAGAAAACGCGACGTATAGGTACCGCTTAAAAACGAATTAAAAAGAATAAAACTAGACGGTCATTGCAGTCTAGGGATCTCTCAATTTTATAAGAATTCTGGATACGAATCTGTTGATTTTAACTTTTATCCTTCCTAATTTTAAATTAAAAAAAAAATATCATGCACCAGGCTGCGTCCGTATTGCTTTTTAACTGTACTGCACCCACAAATATTTTGAGTGGACTGAGTAAGAAAGGGAGTGACTAATCATGTAGTTAATACATATAGCTAAACGAACTATTTGCCGCACGATCACTTTGTATTTCTCACATTCACGCATCTGTAAAGTTGTGCATTAAATGATAAATCAAGTACACCGCAAAAATATCAAAATGAGAGAAGTTCTTCTTACAACTTTTTAAACTGTATTTTATTAAGACAATGAATATCTCTAGGTACATGATCTCCTTGTTTTATGCATACAAGTATAACAGATATACATAAAAAAAACCTTTTCATTTTCCGTACATCTTTAACACCTAATTACTCAAGTTATATGCACCCTCACAAGGTGGAGGCGGTATTTTAAACGCTTGACAAACTCTTTTCATGAAATCAGTTTCAGTGTCCTGGTTCCATTCCACCCCGTTGATGAGGACGTACGGTACGTAGTTGTAATGGACTTTATGACTTTCGTCGCCGTAATATTTCAGCAGGTCCTTTCCTTTATCCCCTTTCGCACATTTCTTGATGCTTTCTACTTTAATATTTAATAGTTCACCGCACTGCAAAGAAAAGCAATATTTTAAAACACTATATATACCTAGTTATATCACTAGACGGAATTACATTCAAACCTGTTTATTTGTTAAATAATAATATAACCACTTAATTTATTAATAAATAATTGATTTGAGCCGTTTATTATTGGGCCCAGTTGAATACACTTATGATTTTTTTTTATGATTTTCAGCTGTTTGATCTAGATTCCAACGTTTTAAGTAGAGAATAGAATCACATTGGCTCTCATTGTCGAGGCAAGTCCAAGAAGTGATAAAATGTCAAAGGAAAATTAATAAGCCATTACTTTTGAAGAATTATTAACGCAGTGGTTAGGGAGGGTACTTTGATATACCTAGCAGGCGTTGAGTAACTTACGAGATGTCCTATCATCGAGTGGATGGCTAAAAATGTATTATTTCAAGTACGTTTTCTATGCTTTGTAAGGAACAATAATATACGTGAAGCTGTTAATTGCAGTTGCATCTGCAGTTGTTAGCCTGCCAGCATGGTTGCTTATGCCTCGTTCTCACTACTTATGTGATTTCCTTTTAAATGAAGGTCTGGGGCCAATCTTTTGATTTCACTCGTTCTTATTACAAAATCCTATATTAGTGGATTTTGTTTTTAAAGTGAAACTACTTTACGCACGCTTGACTTGGGGGGTAAGCTGGCGAATGCGTTACGAGTTACGAAAAGTGTTTTCGGGCGAGGCGAACGGGAGTTGAGTGGGCGATATAAGCAAGAGAAAGCAGTGCCCGCGCACATTTTCTTTCTCTCTTTCTCTTATAGCTAGTAAATGAAATATGTACATGTATATATTGTACACATATATTATATATACATTCAGATGGAGCTAAAGAAGTTTTACATGGGTCGTGTGGTCATAAGCACACTCGTTTTTTTTTAAATGAAGGCCCGTGATCGAATCTTAGACTTCAATAATTACCTTATCAGCTGTAGCATCGTTGGATCCCTGTTCACCATTCTTGTAGTCCATCAGGCACATGTTGAACTCTATGGAAGCTGTGGTGTTAGCCAATATGTCTATGGCACATGCGTGCAACATGTTGCCGTAACATTCCTCCACTCCGTGTTGACATTCAAAATCTACGGTGCCGTCAGCATGGGTGATAGTCTGTTAACAATGAGTTAAGAAAATAAAAATACATATATTATGTAAATTGCTGTTACTTTTACAGAGAAGAGTATACCGAATATGTAGGTACCCCTCTTTCAAGGAAACCGACTAAGTTATTTGTTATAATTTTTTTGTTTATTCAAATTGTTTTTTTTTTTACTATTTTTAGCAGTAAACTACATTATTAAGAAACTTAAGTTAAACATTTATTAAGTATACAATACTACTACTACGATATTTTATTAATAATACGATAAGAACTAACTAATACTTACGATATTTTTAATTTCGAATCACTATACATCACAACATTTAACCGACCGCAATGAAAACAAATTGCTCTTGAGTGTAGTTTGAAAAATATCTCAATCGATCAAAAATGAGTCTATCTGATCATACATTTACCCCCTTATACCCCCTTATTAATAAACGGGGAATAAGCTTAGATTAGGTACGCCGTGTTTTGTTCCTATCACTCAAATGCCATTTGTCATTCAATGAACAGAGACAAAACATGAACTAACTAATTGAAGCATATTCTTCGTTTATTAATAAGGGGGATTGAGTTTTAATTTATGTGCTTAACTTATTCTGTTGCCTACCTGTGCATTGCCATATGGATACGTGTGAACATCGAGGTAGTTTTGTAAAATGTTGTATACTCGTGCAAACACTGTTGTATCAAATTTCCTGCAGTCCGGACACAAGCATTCATAGTACAATTGTATTTTTACATTTTCATTTAAGAACTGAAAAAGAGGGAATCATTTATTATTTCACATTGTGAGTTGTTTTCGTTATGATGTTTGAATTTTGTTACAAAGTACAAAACGAACGAGTTAATAAAAACTGTGTACATTCATGTAACATACCTTTTGATGCAATTTTAAAACCGTCATTTTGTGAAAATATGTATATATTAAAAGAAGTATAATTTTTTTGGAATAACAATTATCCAATCTTCAGTTACTAAATCATGTCTTTCTGATTGGCTTTTTACTTTAATTCCTATGTACAACCAGTTACTTCTGAATTTTATAAGAAAAAAAGAACAGTGTAGCGGGAAAAGTAAGTTGTGAGATATTGACCCAAGTTAACGACTGCGTCAATACCGATACGTTGGTAACGTATTTGAATAATAGGCACTTTGTAAAAATTTTACATTAAATTTGTAAAAAATCTTCTAAAAGTCTTTTTTCTTTTGTCTTTTTTATCAGATTTGAAATGTGTAATATTAAAAATAAAACTGATTACCTTGTGTTCCATAAGAAAAACGTCAGCTTCGATAACTTTAATAGGCGTATTTGCACTGTCCAAGACATTCGATAAAATAACTGAAATTTTAATAAAAGAGATGGTTTTAATAGCAATACCTTACACAATTCTTTTGTTTAATTTTTTTAATACATACCGACTTCTTGCGAATTGATTTCTATTACGGAAATAATAATTAGAAGTAAACGATACATTATTAAGCAACTTAAGTCTCAATACTGATAAAAGCAGAAGATATGGCAAAATTGACCGTTGTGTACCACAATATAAACGATACTAATCATTATTTTCATTTTGTTTACTTTCTACTAGTTATCTGTTTAAACTTTAACTCCAATTAGAATATGTTGTGTAGCTCATTGAACAATATTAATTATTCTCGACTACGAATTTCTTTACCTAGTCTATGTTACAAGGTATTTTTTTATAATATTGCATAACTTATTTATTATTGTAATATGTATTAGTTTATATATTAATTTCATAACATTAAAAGTATATGAAGCTCATTCAAATTGATCTCAATTTGTTTTAATACAGTCCTTTAAACGTTGAGGCCTGTTATTACTAGAAATACGCATTCTCTCCATAGAAAAATTCTTTACTGCCAATCTTATGTGTTGATTTAGGGACTCCAAATTATCATGGCGTTTAGAGCATGCCATATTCTCTAAAACTGACCTTAAATGAATTTTTTATATTAAACTACTTTTTTTTTCTATGAATTTTTTATATTAAACTACTTTCTTCATTTTTAAATTATCAGTTAAATGATGACTAGTGCATCTCTATAGACTGCAAAACTTGAGTCATCTTTTAAAATAATTATGGTTCTAAGTGCTTTATTTTTTAGCTGTCTAAAGAATATAGGATTTTTTCGAATTCTTTCCTTCACTGGGTGGGACATTTAAGTGGATAGCCAAAAAATATTAAGACAAAGATTTAATAATTTCTTAATAATTTGTCAGTATTTTTATCTTTTACCAAAAACCAAACGCATAATTTCACTCCTCCTGCGAGGAATTATTATTATTTTTGCAATTTCCTACTTCAGGGACTGCCATACAACTGTCACCGAATCAAAAATAATCTGATGAGTTTAATTTCAATAGTAAAATAGTGCGAGCAGTCAATATAAAAGCCGTGCCAAATCGTCTTTAAGATATTTGAACTTTGGTTCAAATTAAAATACGGTAAATCAATTTCATATACTAACAATTTTGGCTGTACATGAGCACAATATAAAAGAAAAGTAGTATCGCTACTAACCGTTTTTTCGGGCGTTTATTATGCCATAATTGTAAACAAAGTAAAGTAATATTACATATTTGTACATTTTCTAAAACTTGTGTGCGTTTATCAAAGTTTTTATAGAAATGAGTTCTTTGCCTCTGTTTTTATATTAAGTTACATATATAAGTATTCAAAAAATGCTAGTGTTATCACACCACGGAAAAGTTGTTTCCGCATAGTTGAATGCCATTATTTAGTATTGGTTTGGCTGCTGTAAAATTTTAAATATCTATAACAAGAATAAAAGTTTAAAAATATTTTAAAATTGTTTCCACATACTTGAATGCCATTGTTTAGCATTAGTTTGGGTGCCGTATTTTTTTTAAATTTTAATACGAGTTTTAAAAATATTGAATATCTTCAAGGAAGATATTCAGAACAGAAGAAAAAAAACGGTTTACTTTGCTAATTAAGATATTCAGAACAGAATAAAAAAAATACTGTACTAAAAACTGCACCCTAATAAGAATATTCTTGCTTGCTGTGGGTCAGAGCTTCAGGAAATAGAAGACGAGACCAGGTTAGGCAACGCGAATTCTGCTATCGCAATTTATGATAACAACACAAACAAATAAAACGTGTTTCTTTTATTTTTCTTTTTTTAATAATATCTTCTTTTTATATATAGCCCCTGCACTGTGCCGGTGGATTAGTGAACGCTGCACAAACGGCTGCCATGAGGCCATCACCAGTCCCGTTCCATTCGACATCGTTTATTCGAACGGTAGGAAGCCATTTGATGTTCGCTGCTTTAGTTTCAATTCCGTAGTTACTTAGCAACACGGAGGATCTTTGCGATTTTGCACAGCTCTTTATAGCGTTCGCGTCTATACTCATTAAAGCACCACACTGAAATAAATTTTGATATTTTAGTTTATTTAGATAGGTTGGATAATACTTAAATTGAAACTTCTTCGTAATCCATCCATTCTTTGTATGGTTAACCAGGGTCTGTACATAAGTACAAACCCTGGCTAACCGTACAAAGAATGTTATAAAAAATCGATAAATCAATGTATTGTGAGCTTTGCGGTATTGTGTCCTACTCAACTGCCTTTAAAATAAAATCAAAGTTAAAGTAGAATGGTCAACGATATGTTAACGACTAGGTTTAAGAGTACAGACGCTGGTCTATCGCGTTGTATCATGTTCGTATGATTTAAAATGCATAGTTATTTTTATTCCACTATATCGAAAAACTGTTTTTCGTTTTTATATTTACTCTTAATCGATAAGTGTAACAAACATGAATTATTAGTGGCACTGCTACTAGAGTAAGGCTTCTTTATGGACTGAATCACTCAGGAGGATCTGGCCATTAGGCATTGGCCTGTCTCACAGACCCAATGCTGATTGATAGGTCAACAAGCTCCTCACGAATCACCGAGTAAATCATTATCTCTTTAATACTAAAATTAAGGATTCAATAATTAGGTACTTGGTCTGCTGATTCGTCGTTCGAGCCTCCATCTGGCCTTCCTGCCTCCATCATGCAACCGTTGAACAGGAGCGCCTGCTGACGGTTGGGGATATTGTCGAGAGCGCACGCATGCAACTTGTTGCCGTAACACTCTACGGGGCCGTGCTGGCATTGGAACTCTATTGACCCATTGTTATTGTATAGCGTCTGGGAAGAAAACAATCTCATAACAGTCACTGTATTTTAAATGTTATTTACCTAGTGCGATGGTATGACATTGTTCTTATACGAGTCTGATTGGCACTTTGCAGGTTTTTAGGTGATGAGTATTAATAGGGCTCCGTTTACCAGCCTTTGGGTAGGGAACCCTATTATACCTCCGTTGTCTGCCTGTCACAGGGCTCTATCATTTTGTGAAAATAAATTCAAATTACCGTGTACTTGTTTGCAAATTTTCAACTATGTAATATTAAAGTAAGTTTTACCTCTGCTTTTCCATACGGATTGGTGTAAATGTCTAGGTAGGGGCCTAATGTTTTCACCACATCCGCGAAATATGTGGAGTCCAACGCCTTGCAAGCTGGGCATTGAGATTCATAGTATACCTTGATAGAAGGTCGCAATCTTTTTGCATTATACTGAAACAAAAAAGGTACCTCATTTTATTATACAAACTTAATACGTAAGTAAAAGTAAATTTATCAACCAAAGGCGTTTTGAATGTTACGCCATAATCCTTTTTAGGGTCGTAGAGAATGATTACTACACCCTCAGCGATTCTTCATTTGGCATTTCTAAAAGGTCGAATGTAGCAAATGGGCTGTTCTTTTATTTTCGCATCTTCTTATTCTAATTTCAATCTGCTATCCAATATTGTTTTCTTTGTTTATTTCACAATCAAAATGTTAAGTGTTCTCAGCAATGTAATAAAAATGAAATTTTACCTGGTTTGGAGAATAAAATCTGTTAGTACTATAAGAAGTACCTGAAAACAAAAGTAAAGACTGAAATAAAACAAAAGAAATATAGAAAAAAAACCTACAAAATTTATAAGTACCATATGATTGAGAATAGATTATTCCTATGATACTGAATAAATATATAATCGTAGACCCGTGCATATTCGCAAGGATCTCGAATGAAAATGTTCAAGATCGCAATATTTGCGCTTAAGTGTATCTGAGTATATATTAAGAATGTTTAACGTCACGGTGTTACAATACAATTATGAATGGTCGTAATTAACAGTTTTTAATATGTAAATAACCTCATTTTAATAAAATAAAAGGAAATGTTATCGCTTTTCTGCAAATTAATGAAAATATTAAATTATTTTTCAATTATTCATGAAGTATGACTTTGATTTTTAGGATTTATTATAATAATAATAAATATTTCCAACACTCACACCAATAAGCATATTATACATAGTTAAGTTTTACAGAAAAAAATAATTATCCTATTTGGTGCAGTACTTCGGAAGTAACGCTCGTAACAAAGGCCCGCACATACATTTCGGCAATTAGTTTTTATTTATAATAGATGACACGCAAATGTAACGCTAAATTTCCCAATACATTCTGCTGAAGCAAAAGAAACGAGGCTTACATACATCTGTGTTCTACTTATGTTCTACAAATATTAAAATCGTCTTTCGAGCTAAATCCAATAACGAAAAGAGGCCAAATTCTGTTGGCGTTTTAAATTTCCAGAGCGGATTGAATCCGAGTAATCGTTTTTGCAATTAACATCGTGTTTGCTCTGCAAGGTGGGCCAGCTCTGACATTCTGTTTGATGAACAAAATGCAAATGCCCATACCACTGTTTTTCTTTTTGCAATAATAGGTTTTTTGTTTCAATCCATCTCATTGTTACCATAGTTTAGCTTCTTCTTTTGTTAACCTTCGAATTGTAATATAGTAAGTACCTATTCAATTTAATTGTCACATTATCAGAGAAATTTATTTGGGAAAAGCGTTAGGACCCTACCAGGCTTTAGTGAGATATTCAGTTTCTATTATCGAGAACGGGAATCAGACATAACGTCTTAAATGACGATGTAATGAATAGAACAATATTATTTTCGGAAGTAATTCGTGGGTACAATATTTTTTATTTCTATTTATTAGAGGAAATAGTGTTATAATTTGTTTCCTGAAATACATAGTTTAATATTAACGTTCTAAATATTAAACTATGTTGTCAATGTTTAAGCGTTTTAAAGGTCTATATTTTTCTATATTTACTATGAATATAGGCACATTTTCAAATGATCATCAAGAAAATAGTAATTGATCATCAAAAAATACATTTGGTAACCTAACCCAACCTTTAGGTTACTATAGTGATATAAGTTATTTACGGGATTTTTAGCGAGTTTCCGATTTTTAAACCTGGTGTCTATAAGATCGATTGCAGCTGTGGCAGTTCATGCCGAATGAGGGAACACATAAAAGCAATCAAGAACAACGATACGTAGAAATCAGCCATCGCGGAACATTTGATTGATTCTGGTCCTAACCACTGGACTGAGTTTCATAACCCACACATAATCTCGACAGAACGCCACTACATACCAAGATTGGTCAGGGAAGCGATTGAAATAACAAAACATAAAAATTTCAATCGTGAGGACGGGTTTAAATTGTCGAGTGTCTGGAATCCTGTGGTTTGTATGTGTAAAACAGGAAATAATAAAAAAAAAGTGTCGTGTCGCGATCCGATACTGTAAGTGTTGTGTGTCGAGAACAGTTTCGAGTGAATAGTGAGAATGTGAACAGTGGTACGGGTATCGAACGCAATAAAAGACTTCGTCGGAGGGTAGACCGATATGTCTGCCAATGACAGCCTACCCCTACTCTTTGGCCTATCCGCAAAACTTCAGTTACTCCGTGATCATGGCGGTCATTGCAACAGTGCCGAAATATCGGAAACTCGCTAAAAATAAGGTACATGGTAACAATCCCGTAAATAACTTAAATACTAGTGAGTAGTTAGTGACAAAGTTTAAAACTTTAGGTTACTTACCAATTATATTTTTAGGGGATCATTTATTATTTTTTTGAGCAACATTTAAATATTTTCTATCTCTACCAATGAGCAGTACATTTATCGAAAAACTTTCACATTTTTTTATGGCACAATTGTAAACGCCAATTCTTAGATTTATTTATTTATATAAAGTTGTTCGTCTCGTAGGCGTCTGGAAGGCGGCTCACAATAATAGTACCTATTGTAGTTTGGAGCCTCTATTGTAGCCACAGGGAGTTCAGTATTGGTATCTACTGTCGGTTGGTTTCATAGAAATTGAATCCACCAAACGATTTCTACAACAAAGGAGGATGAGCAGAATATCCCAACGGCACTGAGATAAGATTGTATTGGTGTGCGATGAAATCTTTATACAAATGCTCATATTCGTCATACAAACACTGAAATTTAATTGAGCTCGGTTTGTTTGGTTCAAAACCGAACATCAAGGTATTGCGACATATTAGGATGACGCACGGGGCGGCTCGATTAATAACACTTTAGTGCAATACATTTCGCGGTAGCAATTAGTTGTATTCATTAACATTAATACATAAATTCGGAACATTTTTATAACAGTTAATTACGTATTCATTTAGTTTTAATAATAACATTTTAATTCATTTTGCTTTGACTTTAATCAGACATTTATAGCCTCTACAAGTGAACCTTGTGTCCTACTGTGAAGTAAAACAAAATATTTAACAGTTTAACCAATGTATTTCTCCATTAAACCCCACGGAGAGTGATACCCCGAACAGGAACCAATAGGTATACTGTGCTCAGAGTTATTGAAAATATGCTGTCGTGTCGTATACGACAGCACTAGTACTTAGTGAATAAGAAAAGCTTCTTTATTTTATTCTTTGTGAAAGTTACTGTGTTGCATGAAACATCTATAAATAATAATACTGTTAACAAAGGAGAAGCAAGCGTGACGAACTTGGCAATGCTTTCAATGCGGGGGTTCTTTTTAGCGTTCCCTCCCCGAATATTGTAAAAAACTTAAGATATAATAATTTTTTATTATAATTTTATAAAACTAAGGTTCTACTGGCAACCCTTCTGTCGCCTGTATCTACTAAAAAGCTTTACAGCAGGCTATATTTCATGATCAGTAATAGTAGAATACTAATGAAAGTAAGAATATTGTATTTTATTGTCGCTATATCTAGGTACATTGATAAATGTAGTCTTACTAAAGGAATGAAAATGATGTACTATATAATACCCAGAATACAGCCTAACTGTAGGTGCGTGCTTCCGCCCGGCACGTAAGTTGAACCTAAATTTTAGTTTTCAGCGGATGTTTTTTCACAGAAAAACATCATAGCACTAAAGAATTATTAACAATACAATATCTAATGAAACACAGCAACCATTTTGTTAAAAAAACGTTTTGTGTCGTTTTTCTGTGGGAAAACATGCGCTAAAAACTAAAACTTGGGTTCAATTTATGTGCCGGGCACTATACGTTATAGATTCTTCGTTCCTATTTCCTTCTTCACTCTATATCTAGCCTCTGTTTTTTTCTGATATGATGGCATGCCCTCTTTTCTTTGCCTTTGTAAAATCTTTACTGGCTAAAGTGTCAAATAAAAGATAGTTTCAGTTTTAAGATATTTATTTTACAGCGCTGCAAAACCAACACTAAAGTAGGTAGAAACAATCAACAAAGAACAACACAAAGCTTGAATGGCATTAAACTCTAATATTAGGCATAATAGTATATTACGCTCATCGGAAAAAAAAAATTTTTAAGTTCAGAAAAGGCGAAATGTAGTGAATTTCGAATCATAAATACTAAAAAGTTAAAAATAAATACTTATTTTTTATAAACAAGCTTGGTAATAATAAAAATAATTTCAGACTGATAAGAAATATTCAATTATGAACTTCGTTTTCTTTTGTATTAGTTTCTTATTAATTAAGTTGTTTCCACAAGTATATGACATAAACGGTCCATCCCACCAGAGGAGGTCCAAATTTGATGAGGTTTCATATCTAGGACCAAAGTACTCGTTAAGACGAATCAAAAGAGCCCAAATTTGATAGAATTGTCTCATTTTATTACGGACTTCCTATGGCCACCTTCCAGCTCCAGCATTGTCACCAAACTTATACAAGTATGCTAAATTTTAACTGAATCAGATAACAAGAAGTGGTCGAAAAACGGTTTATAAATTTTTAAGCGACATAACAATACGAACAGTGCAAGTTAAAATAAAACTAGATTAAGTCTAGAGCTATAGAAACTTTTTAAAAGGGAACAGTTAACTTAAATGTCAGTACACAGCTCCGGTGGGGTTTCAAATACTTCACCAACGCTTCTCATGAAATCAGTTTCAGTGTCCTGGTACGGTACGTAGTCACAATACATACAAGAGCAGTAGCGTAACTCAGCCGTTTTCTTGAAATAGATACCTACGACTGAGGGGAGCGCTAGGGTTGGTACCTACAAAATGTAAAACATATTTGTGAAGATTTGAAACCGACTTCAAAAAAGAGGAGGTTCTGTGTCAATTGTGGACCGATTTCCAAAAATCTTTTTTATTCGAAAGAGTGCACTTCTGAGGTGGTCCCATTGGGACATTGGATTTGGTTCAAGTCGGGATCTGATGGTGGAATCCGGGGAAATCGAGGGAAACCTTCAAATTTTAAAGGCACGCACGATAACGTTTTTTTATGCATGTTCATCGATTTCTCCGTCAATTGTGTTATTGTTTACTTGGACGATGTAATTTTCACTGAAATGGATGAAATAAAAAAAATTGAAAAAAAAACCGACTTCAAAATCGAAAATAGAACTAAAAAGTAAAAAATAATATCTGGTTCATGATTTGGAAGACGGGCGGAGTCAAGATTAATTCCATATTTTAAAAATAAAAATAATAAAAACTTAGAATTCTTAACGAAAACAAAAATGACTTGCAGCAGCGCGTACGGCAGAACGGCAATTTCATTGGAAGACCTTTTATCATATTTTGTACTGACATAGATACAAAAGTTAAGGCAATAAATTAATGATACTTTTACAAGAGCACTGCTTATTTTTATCTGAAATGTCTCTCTCCCAGTCTAATTGGTAGCC